TTGATAGATTGATGAGGAAACCGGTGAACAACCATTAGCTTCTGAGGCTTGGATGGCTTAACATGCAACTCTGAATGACAAGAATGAGCCTCAATGGGTCAATAATGAATCATTCAAAGCTTATGTAAGTTTTTATTTGTAGGAGTCGAACCTCTGACCTGTTGTTCAAAGGAAGGGTTTAGCAAACTAACCAGTTAGACTATGCTGGTTTCAGTATGTAAGTTTTTATTTGTTACTACATTCACAAGTAAATTAAGGGAATCATTATAATTTAGAAGTCATGCTAATATTTGTTTTCCTCTTGTAGCAAGAAATAAGAAGAGTTGAAGAAGAAGTTGTGCCAAACAATCCAAATGTTGATGTGTTGAAAGAGGCTTTTAAGACTCGCACTGGCCGTATACCTGGTACAGGCACTGGTTGCAAGTCAAGGAGACAAGCACCAATCAATACAGAAGCTGGAAAAGTGGTCCAGCTTGAGGCACAATTGGCCGCAGTGACAACAAGATTAGAAGAACATGCTCAACGAAATCAAGAGCTAACAACAAGATTAGAAGATCAAGGGTGACAAAATCTATTGTTGAACCAGAGATTTGAGAAATTAATGGAAATGGTAGAAAGTCAACAACATATTCTATCATCAGAAGATAATGAAAAGTTGCTTACCCACAACCTTTTAATTACATGTAGTACAAACTTAAATGTTAATTGGTATTCTTGACTTAGGATTAATGCATAAGTTAACTTTTTACTTAGCTTCCACGTTTGGTTATATGTTAGTACTAGTTTTGTTAACAAATTTTGAAATTAGTCTGAAGAAACTCTTAGTCGGGAAGAGAGGGATGAGGAAGAGTTTGAAAGGGAGCAACAATATTTGAAGGTATGCCTAGTCTATTCTTTATAAACTCAAAGAGTTATTTAAAATTTTATGGTGGAAATATTTTACATTTTAAAATAAATAATGTAGGTTTTGCATCTAAATCGAAAGAGGATTTCACCTACAAAACAGTCTTCTGCTCCAAATAAGAAGAAGAAGTGATTTTGGCTTTTGCGAGGTTTGTGTCAATCTTTTGTTTCTCATCTCTTACTTGACTAATACATAGTTGACTATATCTCTAATAAAAATATTGAATATATGATTTCATTTTCTTTTCAGGAGGGAGATGAGACAAGAAGCATCTTTATGGATCAAATTTGGCTGTGATGATTCGAGAAACAATTTTTTATTAATCAGTATTGTTGGTCCTTTAAATTTAAAACGTATTTATTTTTATAGAATTTTGGTTAATTATGATACATTAATTACAGTTGTTTTAGCTATTTATACATTTGGATGCTATTTATGTCATTAATATTTTGCTTATATATTCTTTATTTGATGCAAATGTGGATGATATGTCATATTAAAAGTAAATATAGGAAACGATTTGATGTGTCCAAACTAGCACTTAGTGGACGACTCATTGTCTCTAATTGTAGTGTATATGGGATGCCCATTGTCTCGGAAAACAACGTTTATGACACAACTTGATGTCTCCACAAATGATTATTACGAGATGACTTATTGTTTCCAAAATTCTACTGTAAGGACATCTTGTCGTCTCAAAAAATAGTTCTTAAAGACGATTGTCTGTCTCGAGAAATCGTATTAAGAGATGATTTTTTGTCTCAAGAAGTGGCACTCAAAGGACGACTCTTTGTTCCAAAAAGGAAATCTTAGGGCACGACTTGTGGTCTTGAAAAATAGTTCTTAAGAGACGAATTAGTATATCGAATAACATTGTATAAGGGATGATATGTTGTCTCCGTAGATAGTTCTTTGGGAACAACTTGTCGTCCCGAAAACGTTGCATTAGGGACGACTAACAGTCTTCAGAGATAGTTGTTAGCAAGGATTGCTGTCTCAAAAACACTTCATAGTGGACGACTTGTTGTCTCCAAAAATGCTTCATAGGGAACAACTTATTGTACCGTAACATAATTCATAGGGAACGACTTTATGTTTCCGAAGATATTGCATAGGAGACGACATGTTGTCCTAAATTCGTAAAAAAAGGACGGAAAATTAATTCGGATTTTTGAATTTTTGGAGACGACTATATGTCTCTCATATTGGGGACGACTTTCAGTTTTTGTTCCCAAAAGAATAGAGGACAGAACCTATAGGCACCACTCGTGGAGACGAAAATTTTCGTCTCCAAAAGATTTGGAGACGAAAAACCCATGTTTTGGAGACGAAATTTTTCATCCCCTAAACCTATCAATTTTGTAGTGTAACTAACATTATATAGAGATAGACGTAGGGTTAAAACCCTAATGACAATCAAATTTCCTTCTTTTATATGGACAAGAAAACAAGAAACTTAGAGTACAAATAATTAATTACTTTTTGACTAAGTAATTAATATCCTAACACCTGAAAACATTACGAGTGCATGCATGTCGAACATACATCATTGGTAACACATGTTTCCATTGCATGTTTATCAACCAAATGCTAACCATCCATACAATACAAGTGTTGGTACCTAACCAAAAGTCCAAAACCGACAAATTGTGTTTGTATCGTTATTCGATATATTGCATTCGCTTTTCCAGGTTGTTTTAATGTGTTTTGGATTGTGGAATCTCGCTCTTTGGAGGTAGCCTAAGCCTAGGCAAAGAGAAGCATCTTCTTTGCAATTTGCTTTATTTGTTTTGTCTGTTAGTCGGGGACATTAATGTTAAATACACAGAAAAACAGAACCCGCTGCTCGATCTCTTCATTAGAGGCAGAGTGGCAGACGCATTTATGCATTACTCTACATACATCCAAACGACACTAATTTCCTCTCCCCCCACAGCGCCACGCATGCAGATCGATAATTGAGATTACAGATATCTAAGCCTAGAGCTACCTAGCTAGCTGTCGGATAAAGTTGACTATAATATAACACACATCATACATGGAAACTTGGTGCGTACCCGTAATATAACAAAGATAATTTGGTCTAATCCTACAAATTATTGGTCTGTAAATAAGTAAAAATGCGGAATAAAACGACACACGATTTACGTGGTATCTCTGTTCAATAGAACAGAACTAATTCACAGAGAGCAAGCTCTCAGGTATGGTTTCACTAAGCTACATCAAAAGTGGTTCCGTCAAAGTTACAGTGGCCTCTCGGCCAATAGCAACATTTAAATACCCTGCTACAAGCAACTAGGGTAAACAAAAACTCTCAAGGGTAAATAACAGAATTGTACTATAATTAACCTGACATGATTAATTCTACCCATCTCAATACTCCCCCTCAAGCTGAAGCATGAAAATAACGAATGCCAAGTTTGGACAAAAGGAAGTGAAACTGTTCCTTGCCCAAAGCTTTAGTGAGAATGTCAGCGAGCTGAGAAGATGTGGCAATCTTACATAGCTCAACTTCACCTGTGATTACCCGTTCGCGGACAAAATAACAATCCATTTCCACGTGTTTAGTACATTCATGGAAGACTGGATTGGCCACGATATGCAGAGCAGCTTGGTTATCACAGTATAGAGGAGTGGCTGACTGTTGAGGTGCACCCAACTCATTCAACAAACAATGCAACCAAACGATCTCACTAACCGTGCTGGCCATGGCACGATACTCGGCCTCAGCAGAAGAGCGTGCTACCACACGCTGCTTCTTTGTCCGTCAGGAAACGGGAGCTGAACCCAACATGATATAGTAGCCAGTGGTAGAACGACGTGTAGACTAACATCCTGCCCAATCAGAATCACAATAAGCAGTAAGCTCCAAACTACCAGAAGAGGGAAAGAACAAACCTTGACCTGGAGCAGTCTTCAAATAACGTAAAATCCAGTGAGCTGCTGCAACATGGTCTGGACTAGGAGCGTGAACATGCTGATTGAGCACATTAACAACATAAGCAATATCCGGTCGGGTGACAGTCAAGTATAGAAGGAAGCCCACTAACCGTCGATAGGACCTGATATCATAGACCACATCCTCGTTGGGTCGAGTAAGTGTGTGGTTCTGCTCCATGGGAAAACAGTTGGGTCGTGTGCCAGTCACTCCAGCATCCTGCAAGATGCCGAGTGTGTATTTGCGTTGGCTAAGAACGATCCCATCAGGAGAGTGGGCTACGTCAATGCCCAAAAATACTTCAAAGGACCCAAATCCTTGATGATGAAACGTGAATCAAGAAAAGCCTTCACATGAGAAATGAAATCATCATCATTACCAGTAAGAACAACGTCATCCACGTATATAAGAGCAACAACAAAGGTAGCCCCTCTGCAATATTTGAACAGAGAGTGATCAGCCCTAGAAGCAGTGAAACCGAGTTCCATAAGTGCTAAGGTGAACTTTTGGTATCAATTACGGGAAGCCTGACGCAACCCATATAGTGATTTACGCAATTGACAAACATGGGTATCACCCTTCTGCTGAAAACCAAGAGGTACTTTCATGTAGACCTCCTCCTGCAGATTGCCATGGAGAAAAGAGTTGTTGACATCAAGTTGATGCAATGCCCACCCTCTTTGCACAACAAGGGCAATGAGAATGTGAACTATAACTAGCTTGGCCACCAGCGCGAAGGTGTCATGAAAATCTACACCTTCGAGTTGCGTGAAGCCCTTAGCGACTAATCTGGCCTTGTAGCGTTCAACTGTGCCGCCAGGATGAGATTTGATCTTGTATACCCACTTGGAGTCAATTGCTCGTTTACCAGGAGGCAAATACTCCAGAGTCCAAGTACCGTTTGCCTCCAATGCCAGAACCTCTTTCTGCATGGACGCACGCCAATATTCATGAACAACTGCTTCCGGGAAATGGCGCGGCTCATGTAGCTTGGAAATGACAGCAAGATACGCCTTGTGCGCAGGAGTGAAACGGTGATTGCTCACTTGATTGGCTATGGGATATGTGACTGCGTGAGAGGAATGGTGTCCGGGTAACTCTACCTCATAAATATCGAGCTTTGCTAGGGGATGACGAGCGCGAAGGCCTCGATGCGGTATGGGAGGAGAGGTGGCCGCCATGTCCCCAGCACCAAGAATATCGTCTTCGGCGGCAGGAGGCTCATGGGAGTCCTCATGCACATGTGCCTACATGGGAGAGGAGGATTCATCTCGATCATGCACAGGAGAAGAGGCGCCATTATCATGTGGTCCTGGTGGAAGGCTTGCCATCTCTGGGAACTCATCACCAACTGCCAAATCCTCCTCGTGCGTCACTCTATGCACAACTAGAGGGTCAAGTGGAAGCTCTCCATCAAGATTAGTAGTGGGGGATGATGATGATGAAGTCGAAGGGGCAGCATCATTAGTCATGTGGAACGAGAACTCACTTTCCACAAATTGAACATCATGAGAGGAATATATGCGTCGTGATGTCAGGTCATAAACTCGATATCCCACAAAAACACAACGTTGTCCTCGCTCCGCAAACTTATCAGGGCCATGTTGAGTATCCTTGGCATACACCAAGAAGCCGAACGTACGAAGATGAGTGTACGATGGTGCCTGTCCAAGAAGCACCTCAAAGGGTGTTTGGTTCCCCAAAACCGATGAGGGAAGGCGATTGATCAAGTAGGTCACAGTAAGGACACACTCACCCCAGAAGCATACAAGCAAGCCTGAATGATACCGCAGAGCTCGCGCAGTCTCCAAAAAATGACGGTGTTTGCGCTCAGCAACACCATTCTGTTGTGGGGTATTGACGCAAGAAGTCTGAAGTAGAATGCCATTCTCGGCATAGCAGTCTCGGAGGCAAAGAGTATGAAATTCCAGCCCATTGTCCGTGAATCATGCGGACCTGTGTGCGAACCATTTCAGAAAACATATGAATGTACCGCTCAACATCTGACTTGTACTTCAGAAGATAAACCCAAGTAGATCGACTATAATCATCCACCACTGTCAAAAAATAATGTGAACCATCCATAGATGGGGTTTTGTAACCACCCCAAAGATCCATATGAATAAGCTCAAAACAACCTGTTGTCTTAATAGAACTAGACTGAAAGGGGGTACGAGTCTGTTTGGCACGCAAACAAGAATTACAATGCAACTTATTCCAACTATGATTCTGACAACTAAGAAAATTCCTCAAAAGCAGAATGTCTAAAAAGATGGTGCCACAGTTCCTGACTTATGCGCTGAGCAGCCTCCATTGCCAACGAAGGGTGCGCCTCCGGCTGCATCTTCTCTTTGCGCAGGAAGTAGAAGAACCCATCAAGGAGGCAACCCAATCCAATCACGGTCTTGGAGCGTAAGTCCTGGATTACGCATAAATTATTCAAGAAAAGTAAGCCTACATTGTTGTCTTTGATCAACTGACTCACAGATAATAAGTTGCACTTGAGCTGAGGAACATGTAGAACATGATGCAAAGTAAATTGCGAGTTCAAGACCACCGAACCAACACCCTCTATTGGAATACACTTGCCATTAGGTATACAGACAGGTGCATGACCATGAGAATAATCAACTTTAGCTAACCAACATATATCACCGACTATGTGCTCATTGCAGCCCGAATTAATAAGCCATTCACTAAGATCAATGGAAGTACCAGCCATGTGTGTGGTGGGATCAGGTGAGGATGGTGTAGGCGTGGAGAAGAACTGTTTAAGATGGACAAATTGTGATGGTGTGAGACCTGGGATGGGACTCTCATCGGCCTCTACATGTGATGCTTTAAAGAAGATTCACCCCTTTGCTTCTTTCCTCCATTTGGGTGATTTTTACAGAAATCTGGCGGGTAACCAATGAGCCGAAAGCATTGCTCCTTCAGATGGCCAAGCTTGTTGCAGTTGGTACATCGCACCTGCTCCTCGCCATCACGTTCTTTCTCGTTGTGAACTTGAAAGGCAGCAGCTTCTACGATGGGGCAATGACCAGTAGTGATGAGGCGTTGTTGTTCCTCTACTGCGACCTGCTGGTATGCTTCAGCCAATGTAGGGGTGGGCCGAATACTCAATATTTGGCTTCGGACCACGAAAAAGACATAGTCTAAACTAAGAAGAAAGTCATTCAGCCTTTCAGTCTCTCAGCCTCTTGTTGCTCTCGAATCTGCTTTCCCACGTCACAACTACAATTCCCACAGCTACAGTGTGGGTTGATGCTAACTGATTGCAACTCGTCCCAAAAAGTCCTGGGTTTAGTATAAACCGCTAAAACGGAGGACTTTTCCTGTCGAAGGGACACAATCTTGCAACGGAGTTCATAGGCTCTCATCGCCGAACTAGCTCCAAAACGCTGCTTGAGGTCTGTCTAGATTTCATGTGCTGTTTTGGCCGCACGAACACTATTTCGTACTTCCTTAGTCATGGACGTCTTTAGCCAGCCCTTCACCATCGCATCACATTGATCCCAAGCATCTTGCTTGACTCTAGTGTCGGCGACCGAAAGTGGCAAAGAGCCATCAACGAAGCTCATCTTCTTCTTAGCAATGAGATTTTCAGTCATATCATTGACCCACTCTCCAAAGTTCAAATCTAAAAGGAGATCACTGCCAAACAACTGGCTAGGATTATCTGAGGGATGCAAATAGAACGGTGAGTTGTGCGGAATTGAGTCGAAATGGGTGACAATCCATTTACCGGTAGAAGACTCATCGTCCTTACTCACGATCGCAAGATCGGATCACAGCTATGATGCCATGTAAATACGTAAAAACGCGGAATAAAATGACACACGATTTACGTGGTATCCCTGTTCAATAAAACAATACTAATCCACGGAGAGCAAGCTCTCAGGGATGGTTTCACTAAGCTACAACAAAAGTGGCTGTGCCATCAAAGTTACACTGGCCTCTTGGCCAATAGAACATATAAATACCATGCTAGAAGCAACTAGGGTAAACGAAAACTCTCAAGGGTAAATAACAGAATGGTACTATAGTTAACCTGACATGATTACTTACTATTCTTCTCAATATGGTTCATAAATTGAAATCTCACATTGCCAAACAAGCAAACATAACTTCATATCATAAAAGTGGGTTGTTGATTAATGAGATAATGAATATTACCGTTCCGTAGTTAGGCCCATATAACTCAGGGTCCGAGGCTTATTTGCAAAGTCTGCGTTGACTGTTAGTTAATCGGTTTGCTAAAAACGTAAAAATCTTCTTGAAAATTGTTAAATATCATTCCAAGAAATACTAAAATTACTCTCTTACCTTTTTACTCTAATTTTTAAAACAAGCATGTGAAACTAGTTTGGTGTCCGACCCATTGGCCGAAATATCATTTGAATATAACATATTTATGTACCTTCTAAATTTTTAAATATTTAAAATGTTGATTTTTACCTAGTAGCTACATTAACTAGTTTCTCTCTACTCCGGCTTTGGTTTCTTCGATCAAGTACTGGGCCAATTGGATTTGGGGGAAGAAGGGTGAGATTAGGGTTTCATGGTTGGGAGAGCAGCTATTTCTCTTTTAGTTTCCTTCCGCGCAAGTTTTCTAGTGGGTATTCGAGAGCAGACCGTAGCATCATCAGGGGAACATGGTTTTCCTTCGAAAATGGAGTCTAGGTATATAACCTCTTGCTATTGATAACTCGAGAGTTCATGTTTGGATTAAGCTCTCAAATCTTCCATCGGAGTATATGTCAAAGGAAGCGTTGGGTCGGATTACGAGCTCGCTTGTAAAGTCGATGTGTATGGATTTACCTACTCGATGGGGGACTAAGCTGGGCTCGGCCAGGATTTGTGTTGAAATTTATGCTGCTAAGCAAAAAGGGGCTAAGTTGAATCTCAAGCCTGATGGGTTATCGAGTTTGATGATTGATGTTGAGTATTTTCATGTCCATGTGATTGTGAAGATTGCAAAGTTTTTGGCCATGATTGTAGGAATCCAAAGGGTATTCAGTATTAGGGACAAGTCTTTGTCCTTGTAGTAGTAGGATTAGTATTCCATATTCCTTATGTAAATTGTCTACTTATCATACTTGTACTCTCTAATCTTATGGGTATAAATATACCCTTGTATCAAAGACAATACACACGATTGATAATCCTTACATGGTATCAGAGCCTCTTGCTTTACAACCTACTGATCCATTAAACGCTAAATCCCGTAAGTTTTTTTTCCTGTGTTCATCATCATGTTTGACAGCTTTGTTTCTTCCGAAAATACTACTGTTGCGGCTAACTCTGAGCTACCTGCGCTGGTAACGTTCAACCCAGCTGTGTCTCTCCCGCTCAAGCGCACCACTACCAACTTTCCCTCCTGGCTCGCCTAGTTATTCTCGCTGCTTCACGACCTCGACCTTGTTGGTCATCTCGACGGCACTATCGTCCCACCAGCTTCGACTACGGTGGTTGACTACACCTATGTTCAGAACCCCGCCTACACTCTGTGGTTCCGATAGGAACAACTTCTCCTCAACGACATTCTTGCGTTAGTTTCCGAAGTTGTCATCCCCTTCATCATCGTTATACTTGGCTCTATCCTCTTGGCTACAAGTCTGATGTCTTCGCCACATTCATTGCCTCTCAAAAACTTGTTGATAATTATTTTTCGACTCGTATTAAGCGTATTTACACTGACAGTGGTGGTGAGTTTCAGAAACTCAAATCCACTTTAATTCCTAGTGGTATTACTCATCTTATCACCCCACCTCACACTCCTGAACCCAATGGCCTAGCCGAACGTAAGCATCGACATATTGTTGAAACTGGTTTGTCTCTGCTTCATCAAGCTAAGTTACCCCTTTCTTATTGGTCATTTGCATTCACCACTGCTATCTATATTATTAATCGCCTACCTTCCTCTACTCTTCATGGTCGTATCCTGTTTCAGTAACTGTTCAACGAGCCTACTCATTTTACTAAACTTTGTATTTTTGGTTGTCTCTGTTTTCCTTGGCTTCGCCCGTACAGTGCTCACAAGTTACAGTCTGGATCTTGTCCCTGTATTTTTTCCCAGTTATTCTCATCAACAAAGTGCTTACAAGTTTTTTGACCCTCACTGACACGCTACGACACAACACCTAACAATGGCCAAGTGTAACCAATGAAAGTGACTGCAGTATAGTGGCACAAGTAATAAATATCGAATCCACGGGTCTCTAGAGTTACTATTACTCAGCTTCAGTTCATTATCTAGCAAACTAGATTAAGGATTGATTTATTAAACTACTCTACTAACTACTCTACTAATTACAAGTTGGGAACTCACTTAGGTATGATTCCCCCTAGCTCCTGAATTAGGTCCAAGTTGCAATTACCTTTGGTTGATCTACTGTTGATTAAACTGCGGAAGATCCTAAATTAGCTTGGAATCTCTTCACCGGGATAGACTACTAAGGCGATTCACACAGATCTCCACTACTGGAATGAATTCCAGTACA